AATGTTTTTTTTACTTATTCAATGTAATGGTTGTGTTTACTTTGATTACTATGATGCAATTATTGTGATACTATACATGACGTCCTCCACCCCCGAACGTTTCCGCCGTTCCGGTTTGGGGGTGTGACAACTTGTACGTATTCTCTCTCTCTCTCTCTCCATCCCATCTCTTTCTCCCTCTCACTCTCTCCATCCATAATCATTATGTTGCTTTTATATTTCTAGATTTTGGATGTTTTCAATTTAGGTGGAAACGACGATAATGAAGCCAGATGCTTCGATTTTGATTTTGGGGTTTTTCCGATTTTGGCTTGAAACAAAGACAATGAAGTAAATGCTTTACTGGTTTTTGGGTATTAAGGAATCAAAAGCTTGGTTTTTGGGGAAAATCGGGTGTCACAACGTGACCAAAAAGAGGTAACGATGTGATGAGTAAAATGGGAAAATGCATATCCGGGAAGCATGTCACGACGTGACATGAGTATGGTCACGTCGTGAGGATGGTTGTAGCCCAAGCCCATGATCTTTTAGGGTTTCCTTTGTATTTAAGTCTTTTAACTTGGAATTAGGGTTTCATTTCCAACCTTCATCACCTAGGCCTGGCAATCGTGTCGTGTTCGGGTTGGCGGGTCAAAATACACCAACCCAAACACGACCCATTTAACTATACAGGTCAAGGTGTTGGTGGGTTTGGAACATAAACCCATATACGACCCGTCAACCCACTTATTTATACGAGTTTACAGGTTGGGGGGTTCGTGGGTTAGATTTGGGTTCGCAGGTTCGTGGGTCAGATTCCATAAATAAAATAGATAATTAAACATGAATAAATTCTAGATGCAAATGAAAATTAAAAACATTCATGGAAACATGTTCAGACTAAAACATTAATACAAACATAGATAAATTCAAGTGCTAATGTAATAGCCACATTAATACAAACATTCCTACATTCCTACGAATAATACTTAATACATTTAAAAAAAATATATAATTTCTTTTTATTAAAATTCTAAACGGGTTGGCAGGTCAATCCGTATGTTTTTTGACAAACTCATACATGACCTGTTTAATAAACAGGTTGGCGGGTTAACGGATTGAAAAACTCAACCCATACCCGTTTATTTCGTGTCGTGTCGCAGGTCATGTCGCAGGTCGTGTCGAGAATTGCCAGACCTATCATCACCTCCCTTCACCCTTTAAAAATACTAATCTTCCACTTTTGATCTTTGAGCTCCATTTTTGGGTAATTTGAAGCTTGAAGAAGAAAAGACATTTGGTGCGTCATTTCAGCTTGCAAGCCACTCCGTCATCATTTTTGGCTGCTTTAGGACTCTTATAAGTCCTCAAGTTCCTGCTTTTTTAGCTCAAGCTTATTAGCTTTAGTAATTGGCTCACTTTTCTCATCATTTATGGAAGTTGGAGTGTCAGGATCTCATAAAGTTGGCAACTTTATGAGTTCCCAAGACTCCTTTGCTACATTTTTTCCCAGATTTGGAATATTAGTGAGTTTCGGGTTTTATACATGAGATTAGAGTTCATTTTCCCTTAATTTTGACCTAGCTTATGTTTAGGACATGCATTGGACATGTATGTCTAAAAAGCTATGATTTTTATGGTATTCTGAGATAAAGAAGGCATTCTGGAAGGTTTGGTTGCATGGCGTAAAGGATTAAGAGCTTAAGACTTTAGTCTGTCCAGAGCGTTCGTCACGACGTAACGAGGGTCTGATCTGCTACTATTTTGTTTCCATTGTGCCACGACGTGACCAATAGGTGGTCACAACATGGTAGGCCTGACAATTGGGTTGGGTTCGGGTTGGCGGGTTGGCGGGTCACGGGTTGGTGAGTTGGAAACCTCAACCCAACCCAACTCATTAAACCCGTTTAAGTATATGGGTTCGCGGGTTCACAAGTTAATGGGTCAAACCCAACCCATATAACTCGTTTAATAAATAAGCAACGTATTTTAAAAAATGAGCTTTTTTCAACATAAATTCATAAAATGATTAAATTAATTAGCATAAAAAAAGGTTTTCAACAATAATTCATAAATTCAATAACATCCAAATAAAAATGAAATATGAAAACATTCATAGAAAGTGGATGTGTTTTTCATTCGTGACTTGTGAGTATCTAAAAATAACGACATGTATTTTTTCTTTTTTTTATTAATGAACCGCAAACGCAGATTAGTCACATACGAATATGGAAGGAATACAGTGATACGAAATATTACGAATACGGATGTAAATCAAATTTCATTAATAATTAAATATATCATTTTTTAAATGTAATATATATATATATATATATATATATATATATATATATATATATATATATATATAGGTTGGCGGGTTGACCCGCGAACCCAAACAGATAACCCAACCCAACCCATGAAATAAACGGGTTGGTGGGTTGGCGGTTTGACGGGTTGGCGGGTCAAAAATGTCAACCCAAACCCGTCTATTTTCGGGTTGGGTCAGTGTCGGGTTACGGGTTGGGTCGAGAGTTGCCACCCCTACAACATGGCGACCGACTGAATGATTTTTAGAGTGTTGACTTTGACTGGACCGTTGACTTTTTGACCAAGTTTGACTTTAGGTCAAACTTAGGGTTTTGGGTTGTAGTTTGAGGATTTTGGTCCATGTTTATTGTATAAGTGACCTATAGAGCTGGTTATGAGATCTATGATCATTACTGACATCTTCTAGACTGCGATGTGAGTTTTCTCACTATACTTTGTACTGCAGTATGTGTCCTTGTGTGTAGGATGTTGATATACTGTAGTGATCTGTTAGATTGGCAGATCTGTATGATTACCTGTATTGTTGGTTATTGTTTATCTGTTTGCGTATGTCAACATAATGTGGTTGGGTTGAGGCAGCACGACTTTGTGTTGTAGGCCAACAAACTCGGGAATTCCAGCCATGTGTTGTGGGCCGGGGGTAATCCAGTGTGATGATTGTGGGCCCGGGGGCAATCGAGTGTTATATTGTGGGCCCAGTGTGCATGCATTGTATATGTATTGTCATGTGTGATATTTTGGGGAACTCACTAAGTTTTGGCTTACATTTATTGATTTCAATGTTTTCAGGTGCATAAGATAATCGGGGCAAGGGGAAGGCATGATTGTGCACATCCTCCTGTTGAATTATGTTTTGAGAGACCATTTGCTACTCTGATTCTATGGTTTTGATTTGAAAACAATACTTGATCATCTTATGGTTTTTGTGGAAATGCTTTACAAAAATGAAAAAAAATATATCATGGTTTTTGGGATGTTACACTTGGTCTTTCGCAGTTGTTTGTTTTTTAGAAGACTTCTGACTTAAAAACTGTTGTACGTGTGCTACGTGGCGTAACACTTGACTCTCATCTTCAAACCACTTCACACCTTACTTTAAATTATTCAACATAGATTTGTTTTAATTCTTTTTAAACATGTTTATTATTTTAATAATATTATGAAAGATATTATAAACAATTGGAGTATATTTTACATAATTTCAAAACCATTTGGTAACTTTTATATAATTTTTTTTGTGTTACATTGTCTATAACCAAAATATTAATAAATTATAAAGTTAATCACTAAAATTACCAAATTTATTAAACCTAATCGGAAAAATAATCATCGTCTTGGAAAATTTAACGAAATGAACATTTTCGCTAAATTAACAATTTTATTTATTGTTATTTAGCAAATATTATGTTTAATTATTGTATATAAACGCCTTCAAATATCATATCATCACAATGGTATTTATATTTGATTTGCATATAATTAAACTAAATAAATTTATGATTTCGAATTATTTATAACTATTGTATGATAATTTCAGTTTATTACACCGGTCTGCAGACATTAAAAAACAAACAGACTTCTTATTACATGATACAACCGTTTAGTCTAACTTTTCTGCAACTTGTAGATGGTTGCAGATGTGGTCCGCAGACTTCAAACGTTTTCGTTTCTAAAAAAACAAACAACAACTTCATGATGATGATGGTTTTGATTTGCTTGATTTTTTGTTGTTGCGTTCATGATGCAACCGTTTAGTCTAACTTTTCTGCAACTTGTAGAGGGTTGTAGATGTGGTCCGCAGACTTCAAACGTTTTCGTTTCGAAAAAAACAAACAACTTCATGATGATGATGGTTTTGATTTGATTTTTTGTTGTTGCGTTTGAACGAACGGGTCTTGAAACCAGTTGAATGATTTTGACGGAAATACAACTTAATGGATTTTGGTTTTTGATTTTGTGTGTGAGATTGAAATGAGTTTTGAAGTTGTTGTGTTTCATTTGGTTGCAGGTTCGAAAGTGATTTGAAGGTGTACAGTTGAATTGAAGCTTGTGTTGACTTACAAATTAGGCAACCAACAAAAATTAAGGACCAAAATGTTGACTTTCGAGATAACTTGCTGATGAGGCACATGAAACTGATTACTCTAGGTTAGAATGATTATGATTATTATAGGTTATAATGATCAAATAACAGGTCAAAAGACTCAAAACTCACCGCCCCAATAAAAAAAATAGTTTAGGGACCATTTAAACCATAAGTCGAAAATTCGATGGGCCACAGTTCATTTCCCCTTTTACAAAACATCACCATTTTTGCAACCGGGTCAATTGCAAAAATTATTTTTCATCATCTGATCTATGAAAAAAACCAACATTTTTTATTTTTTTTTTGCAATATGAAATCATCATTTCACACAAATGATACGTTTTGCAAAATGTGAACTTTTTCAAACTTTTTCCCAAGGTTTTATATGATAAAAACCATTTGAAAGAAATCGCAAACCACAAAATCCATATAGTAAGTTTGATGTTAAAATGGTCAAAAGGAATGTCACTTTATTATATAAACACAACTATCATCTGTAATCTATTCTTTAACTTGAAAAACACAAATGCCAATATGATAAAACTACTACATTGCCCTTCCAGCAACAAAACACAATACATATACATATGCATGCACATTATTACTACATTGCCCTCCCACCAACAAGCGGTTTAGGTGGAGTCAAGGACCTAATCTCAGGGGCAGAGCTAGGAAAAAGAATATTAAGCTTATGCATCAAAATATCACCTCTTGATGGAATCTCATTCAAAAGAAACTGCTGAACAATCGGCTTCTTAAACCATTCAGACACCGAATCCCCAGGTGCCCTCAAAACCACTTTACTAACCTCAAAAGGCGATTCCACTGAACTCAACATCTGTGCCACCACAATCTTCAAAGTGGGTCCCGTCACCAACTTAATCCTACGTGGCACAACCCCATAATACAACATCCGTTTCCTAAACCTATGAAGCGTATGAACAACTGCCACAAGAGCAGCTCCAACTGACAAATTCCTAACATCAAGTGACCACGCGATATGTTGATCAAACACAATCGCTTTAGGAAAAAGCTTGTTTTCATATGAAACTTTCCACACACAACGCGCCCGATTTATCTGACCCATGAGCACAAGATAGTTCAAAAGAACATTTACAAAATACCGAGTTTGCCCTTCTTCGTTTTCGTAGTCAATACCTTGGAAAAACTCGCGGACGAAAGCTAACACGGGTTGTTTTCTTTTCTCGGGTCCCGTGAATAGCCCACACATGAATTTATGTGCTTTGTGATTTGTTGCACTTAAAATCGACATTAAATGTTTTTCTTTTTGTTCTTCTTGACATCTTACAAGATGGGCTAGAATCGAAGTGTAGAGAATGAGGTCAACTTTAGCGGATGAGTCAACGTATGTTTCTAGAAGCGGTTTTGCTGACTCATATAAACCGTTCTTCATGCAAGATTCGAAAAGTTGTCTGATTATGAAATTATTCGTTCGGATTCCGGAAGAACCCAAGAATCTTAACCATTTTAAAGCTAGGTCAACAGAAGAATCTTTGATAAAAACCATAAGAACATCACTAGCAGTTATATCTACAGAGTACCCGATTGCTTTCATTTCGAGAAGAATCTTGGCGGAAACATCTAGAAGTTTCTTTTTTGCTAAGAGGGTTAGTAAAGAAGTGTAAGTGGTCATTCCCGGTTTTACCCCTGCGTTGTTCATGGAGTTGTATAGTTTCATGGCTGAATCAAGTTGACCATTAGCAGCATGCATTTCTAGTAAGCAAGAGTAAGTACTTGGAGTTGGTAAAAAACCGGATTTTTCCATTTCTAGAAAGATAGACATTGCAGTTTCAAGCTTTCCTGATTTAGCATGGGATTCTACAACCATGGTGTAGAGACCATAATTAGGTCTAAATCGGGCTCTTTTCATTTCATCCCAAATCTTTAAAGCTGTGTCTAGCTTACCAGCTTTTATATAGGATTCAATCATGGAAACAAACATGGTGGCTGATGGTTTGATTCCAAGACCTTGCATTTCCATGTAGACTCTCATGGCCATGTCTAATCTCCCAGCTTTTCCTAAAGAATCAATAAGTGATGAAAAGATTGTAAAACCTGGTTGGAGAGATTTCTCTTTCATTTGTTGGAAGAGCTTCAATGCTGCATCGATTCGACCTGATTTGGCTAAGTTTGGGATCATTAACTCATAGGTTGATTTATCTAATGAACAATTAGAATCTTCCATGTTTTCGTATATCTCAAATGCTTTAAAAGGCAAACCCTTGTCTGAGAACAAGGTTATAAGAGAGTTGTAGGTTTTCGTGTCGACTTTACAACCGGATTCTTGAATCTTCTTGAAACAACAGAAGGAAACTTCTAACTTTTCGGCTTTTGCAAGGTATTGAACGATTCTACTGAAAGCATTGAATTCAGGAACTTTTGTTTTGGTTGAATCACAAATGAGATCATCGAACACCGAATGAATCCCTTCAAAATCTCTACTCTGGTTTAACCTATCAATCAATGCAAGATAACATTCATCACTAGGTAAATACCAAGATTGCCTTTTTGCCCATCTGAACAGACTCAAAGATGCATCACCATCTCCAGTGATTTTCAAAGCTTGGGTGATATGAATCATGTTAGGAACGAACTGAAGCTTATCCAACTGAGTCTCCATTTCAGGACCCCATTTCCACCTTTTGACAATCTCAACAATCTTAGCAACTGCTGAAGCGTTTGAAAATGGCTGTTTTAAACCACCAACCATTACATGGTCATCCACTCCAGGCTCAACAGATCTTATACCCTTACCAATGTAAATAACACTGCCTGATTCATCTAAATACTCTATTTCTTCGGTAAACTCATTATTCCCTTTGCTGTTCTTCCCAGAACAGTAGCTCCGAACACAAAAATGAGGGTTTTGATTAGTTGGTACAAAAACAGCATCAATTCTTCCGGGAATCGATACAAAACGGCGGTTTGGATACGTCCTAAGTCCGGAATTCGATGAACGTAAAGCGAGTAACTGAAGATTGTTGAAGACGTACCTGGAGAACGAACGCGTGCGAGCACTCATTCTTAACTCGAATAACACCACACACGTGAATTGAAGAAGTACTAGAAGATAAAAATCACGTCCATGGCGGAATTAAGAAGAATAATTAGTTCTCCGATCTGAGGTTTAAGGTTTTACTCACCGACCGTCGTGTAGCCGGTGGTTGCAGTTAAACTGAACCCAAATTGCTTAAACCCTAGTATGGTGAATATCCAATTAGGCTTTTCTTATTTGTTTTTTTATTAGTTCCCATTTTGCAAGATAAAAAATAGTGGTAGTCTCAAACTCTTATTATTTTGTTTGAATTTACCATGTTTTCAAAAAGGATAAATTTAATTTAATTAAATACTTAAAAAAAATTAAAAAGGCTCAAATACTCATGGGATGTTACGGTCTGCAATTTTGTTTGAATTTACCATTTTTTCCATGACGATTAAATTTGTTTTATTTTTTAAATTCAAAATTTAAATGGTTATATTATAAAAAACATGGTGGTTAAACTCGATAAATTTCAATTTATAGTGGTTTGTGTATAATTAAGAGTTTTTATAAGGTAAAGAGTTTTATAAGGTAAGGAGTTGTTTTAATAAGATTTATTTTGCAAAAAAAAAAAAAAAATACAGCCAATAAGAACTCAACTATCCATTTTATCTTTCATCTCTCCTCTTGCTAGCTCCTTGGCGAGCTCTCTCTAGCTCCTCGTAGCACAAAGTGTGCGCGCGTGTGTGTGAGATGGGGGAGGGGGTAATGTAAGAGTGATGTGAGTCCTTTTGTCGTAATTATAATAATATGAGAAGAATAATTGTGTTTGTCGTCTTAGAATAATAGCTTGTAATAATAGATTATAATAATGTAAGTTTGCCGTTTGTAATCATAAGTGTACCAGACTCTCGAAGAGTCTATGTGTATACAAATAGGGCGTTGCCCATTATAAAATAAAACAAAGTTGTTTTATGTAAGATTTAAGTATTCTTAAAGTTATTCTCTGTTGAAATTTATATTTCTGAATAGCAGAGTGCATCCAATATCTAAGTTCATATTATCCATTATAACCACTCAAGTGGAATATGAGATCAATTTCACTACATGCTTTAACTATTTTGTTTAGCATGAAAATGTGGAAAAAAATCTCATATCTAGAAAGAGTTTAAATGAAGGATCGTAGGACCATTAAATGGGAGCCAATCAGTTGGGAACAAATTCTATAATGAAAGTCGTGTGTTGAAAATTAGATACATTGTTTTGATCATTGGTGCTTTGTGATTTAAGTGATATCCCTAAAGGGGGGTCATGGGTGCGGTGTGAGACCATTTAGGATATGTTTTATCTTATTGACGATGATGTATAGTGTTAGGCTGGAGGATGTAATGTCATCCTTACCATATATTTTTTCTCTGCCACTTAATTTTTACCACAACACCAAGGTTTCTTGCCACACGTTTAAGTATGGGTACCACGGCAAACATATTAATTTTTTAAAATTTTATTAAATAATTCAGTTTTAATAAAAAAAACGTGAATTTCATTACTTAAAAAATAAAAAATAAACATAACATGACATTAAAAAAAAACTCATAAACAACTTAGAAAAAAACCAGAACATGACATTAAAAAAAACTCCTAAAAAACTTAGAAAATAAAAATAACTATAAATTTTAAAACATGCAAACATAAAAAAACACACAACAAACTAATTAACATAACGTTTTTTAAGGTCGGTTTTGATCGTCAACGCAATTTCAAGCTCCTTCCTGGGGATGTGACTTGTGTCGAGCGTTTGTATTTTCATGTCACTATCTTTTTGTTTCCTACGCTCTATTTCAGAAGCAATCTGCAAAAAATTGTCAATTTTTTCGTTTAGACCCTTTACCTTTTCTCGCATCACTTTCAAGTCATCTAAATCTACCGCTTTGTCTTTTATTTTTATGTTTTACTTTGTCCATTCTCATTGGTCGGGAAGGTGGTGTAACTTAAACGTTTTCATCATTGTTGAGGTCGATTCTAATACGAGCATCTGATGTAGAGTATTCGAATTTGAATGTTTTTGAGCGTTTTGAACCACTATCGATATGTCTGTCGGATGTTTTGCTCTTTTTCCATTTTTTGTTATCTTTCACGACATTCTAAAACTCAATAAAGTTAAAATTCTTCTTATTTTCTTGTTGGTACACTTTTAGAGTTTTCATCAAAATCACATCATCATTTTCTCCACTTTGTCATTGACGTTTCATGTTGTTATACAAATCATTAAACAACATGACTTTCTTGTTGTCTTCCCCCATTTGTAATACACTTGGTCTTTTGTACGATACTCTCCTTGCTTCATTCCATTGTGGAACCTTTTTGCAACTCGCCTCAAAAAATGATTATGTTTTTGGTCATTTCCAACATTCACATCTTCGGAAACATCGATCCATGCATGTGCCAATGCCTAGCATTCCTATGGTTTCCATGCTTTGGCCTCCGCCTTCTATTTTCTTTTATTACGTACTTTGGTGGATTGGGTTTCTTAAACGAATTAGGGTTTGGAATCAAAATTGCTCGACTTTCTTGAACGAATTCGGGTTGAGGCAAAAAATCTAATGGATTAAATTCGGTGTCAGATAGGATGTGTGGTCGTGGGTATTGTTTGTGATTATTGTTATGGATAATAAGGTAGCATACCGCCATAGTGATAAATGAGAGACAAAAAAGTCGGTTGATCAAAAGAAGGTTTTGAAGTGTTTCTAATGAATGTTTTTTGGTTGTTTGAGTTGTTGGAAAAAGACATTTTGACCGTTCAAAGCATTGAAAGAAGAGAAAAAGAATAAAGAATCGAGAAATAGAGGATTCAGCTAGTTTTAGCCGTATGCAGCCAAACCATAGGGTGGGGCGGTGTTCCCTTGGTCCAACGTCGCAAACTGAGGGTCAAACCGTACCCACACCCTCAAGCCTTAGAGTCTAATATAAGATCTACCACTATGGGTGAAAATCAACTCAATCTAGAACTTTCAAGGTCTAAAAGACTAAAGGTCCAAACCATATCGTTAGTCTCACTAATCTCATATAGTTTATGTTAAATTGGAATTTTGTACAAGAAATGAAAAACTTGAATAATCATATGCTTTTTTTTTCTAAAAAAGCAAACAAACAAAATTACATGATTATCAAAAAAATATTGTAGATTGAAAAGTCCGAAGAAAAAAAAAAGGTTTCGAACTAGGCTTAATCCAATCCAAAGAAAATTGATTCGGGCTTCATCGTATTCAATGCAAGATTGATTGATCCGTATATTAAAAAAAAATTGTCCATTTTATAGAGACCATCCAAAAAAGTAATAACAATAATAATAATAATAATAATAATAATAATAATAATAATAATAATAAAAACTGTCGTGTGCGCTAGCTATTTTATAAGAAATAATAAGATACAAAATAATAATCACAATGATAAAGAAACCTGGAAAACTTTTATTACGGTTATTATCTGATTTCAATTTTCCAATATCACATTATTAACTTTCACAAACAACTTTCACAAAGACATTTGATAACTTATTAAAAGATTCAAATCCAAGAAAGTCTTTGACTATGAAACAAGTATACCCAAACCTACATTCCATTAAAAGTATCGTGGATTATGGTGTTGTATGACACTTTTAGCCTAGCATGTATGCTACTGCTACTACTACGAGCCTGTCACATAGCTTTGAGTAGAAAGCAAGCAAAATAAAAGGTCCCACTTTACATTTTACACTACATGGCAAATGCAAATGCAAATGCCAAATGGTTCTTTAATCCATTCTTAAGCCAAGAATCTCTTACATACCCATTTCCACCACCATCTCCCAAGTATCCAACCTCCATCTTCCCCCATTTCTCACTCATATATATACACACAAATTTATACACGTATACATAATTACATATGCTAATCATGTATGTATGTATGTACACATAACACTCATAAACATGAAGATGATCACGAACAAGAACAAGAACCACATGTTACTAGTATTTCTCTATGCTATGGTGTTGGTTGATCATGCATATGTGTTTGCAGATACAGATATAGATGGATATCATATCGTTAATCACGATGATCTACCATTGCCACCTGTCGATCCACTTACTCCGGTTTTACCCGAGGCATATTGCTCCAATCCCCCTGGTTTCTCACCACCTTCCTCCACCACTCTGCCTCCTACTATCGGATCTTACACCCCATCACCACCTGCCACATCATCTTCCTCCTACCCTACACCACCTTCCTCTTTCTCCACACCTTACACACCACCTTTCTCTTTCTCCACACCACCCGCCACCACCACCACCACCACCCCAGGCTCACCAGCCACCTATGAACCCACCCCTAGCGGATCTTCCAACCCACCCGCCACCTACCAACCTACCCCTAGCGGATCTTCCAACCCACCCGCCACCTATGAACCCACCCCTAGCGGATCTTACAACAATCCACCTTCCGGTTCATACGAACCGAGCCCACCAACATTCACGTTTCCGTCTCCTACAGGGTTCATACCCGCACCGCCACTTTTCGAACCGCCAATTGTGTACCCGCCTCCGACACGATCACCGCCAGCTCATAGTTCGCCGGAATCCGCCCTGTGGTGTGTGGCTAAACCGTCTGTACCAGATCCAATCATCCAAGAAGCTATGAATTACGCGTGTGGTTCAGGGGCGGATTGTGAGTCATTGCAACCAAATGGTGAATGTTTTCAACCGGATACATTGTTTGCACATGCTTCTTATGCGTTTAATAGCTACTGGCAAAGAACAAAAGTCGCCGGAGGCACCTGTGAATTTGGCGGCTCAGCCATGCTTGTCACCGCTGATCCAAGTAAGAAACTGTTTCTTTTTTACTTAACGAGCTTAATGAGTTAAACACTTAATCTGGACAGTTGTGTAGGATTGTTTCCTTTTTGACTTAATCTGGATTTAATGACTTAGTGGGTTTATTGAAGAAAAACAGACTTAATGTATAAAGTCACTAATTCTTTACTTGTTGATTTGTGGTAACAGGTTATGACGGCTGCCATTTCATCTACTTCTAATGGGTTTTCTTTTACATGATTAGAGACAGCTTTTTGTAAGTATAACTAATCACAATAGAGATAGAATATGTTCGTATCTCAAGAATTTCTATGTTTGAAATAAATGCAATGGAAGTTGTGAGGATTCAAGAAATGGATTAACAGCAAGTAACATTCGGTGTAATACTCAAATGACATCAAAATACATGTTTCATTTTGTGCTCAATGATACAAATAATTATCTATCTTCAAGTCTTATCTCAAAAAACAAAAAATAAAAGATTACATACATACATACAACATCAGAATCCCACATCAATGACCACCTGGGTTTCTGTTCCATGACAAATAAGTCGGATCTCCAAGATGCCTGAAATAGAAATAAAAATAAAAATTAGTGTCATAATTCTATAAAGTATGCTAATTTTATGATTTTGTGAACACCCGAAAATATAATTAATTAATATTACCTTGGTTTAACTAAATATATGAGAGTGAAAGTTGTAGCTAGTATGAAGCATAATCCACCAACAGCAAGATACGCGATGCCAATAAAGTTATTCTTTCCTCCAAGCCAACTTGTGGTTGAAAGCACAAGTTTCTTCTTGCCACTAAAACTATAAGTGTTGTAGTTGTTCTCTAATACAACAGTTATAGTTTCTCCTGCTTGAATATCCACTTCTATTTTTCCATACAATTTTCTAAAAGTTGGGAGAGCTGCAGTTCTCATCCACACAATAAGGTCTTCCTGCTCACTTAACTATAAAACAAACAGATTCCCATTAGGTATTTTTACATTTGTAATTAGTAAACTGTATAGTGCTTGTGAGACTTTGGGTAAATAGGTAATAAAGAGTAAAATGGTAATTTAGTCCCATTCAGACGGTTTATTCAGTCTAGAAAAGAGGGTCGAGCACTGAATGAGACTAAATGACCATTTTACCTTAAGCTAGGTTTTTTGCTTAATCAACTGAGTCATTAGAAACAGCCATTTATAGCTGTGAAGATTAAGTGCTTAACCCATTAAGTCAAAAAAGAAACAGGCTCTTACTGGTATGGACTCGTTGAGATGTGCACCACCAAAATAAGACTTCCATTTTGGAAGTTTTTTGGGAAGACATCACGGCCAAATTTGTCCTCTCTGTCACTTTTCCATGAAATATGTCTCTTGTTAACGGGTAATGATTGGTTGTTTCTGGTGGAGAATGCATACGTGTCATTGAATAAACTCCATGCTACAAGCCCACATGGCACAATTGGCATCCCATTTGCATTATGTTCAGGCTTACATGAACTTGTGTCATTTTCATCACCACGGTTTCTTAATTGCTGATCACTTCGGCTCTTCACATACCTCCTATGATTCTGGTAGTAATTGTCCAGTTGATAGTAGACGTATATAGGCTGCTTCATACGCTTTGTGACCTAAACTTCCATTCATTCATTGGAAAAATATCATTAAAAGAAAAACTTATAGATGTGAACTTGAATTGTATATGTATGTATGTAATCATGCAAAAATGAATCAATGATCAAGAAAGTAGTTGATTTGAACTTACTGTCAAGGTTCTGGTGCAGGTCTTACTTGCATTGGATTGTATATATTGGACCTTTTGACTTTTTTGACCCTTGTACGCAGGCATTATCGTACCGGTCAATGATTTCAACTACCTATTTGAATGAACAAAAATCCAAAATTAATAAACAATAAACAATACAAGAAAGAAAGAAAGGAACTGTTCATGAATTTAGAGGGATTGAAATTTGAATCATACATCACGAGAAGCAAAGAGGGAAGCAAGTCCTATTGGTATGAAGACAATGGTTACAAGCATGAAAGCTGAAATCACCTGTGGTACAAAACATAAAGAGAGTTAAAGCTTGTTGATTTTTGATATATTGATGGAGAAAAAGCATAGGGGTAGGGTAAATGAAGATGCTCACCCATTTTGGAGTAAGAATTGGCTTACATGCTGGAAGCTCCTGCTGTGTAAACCTAGAATCTGAAAGGGATCCATAAGAAAGGAAATTAGTATTTGCACCAAATCAGGCACACAAACAGATATCTTAAAATATACAAACACACACACAAAGGGCATGGACAGAAGAACAAACCCTAAATGGTTCAATATCTACATAGTTTGAAAAATCTAAAGGTGAAACATAAGCATCATGTTACTTTTACCCAGCCTAAATTAATTCCCTTTGCCCACTCTTATCTCTTATCCATTAGCTGGATGAAGATGCTAGGGTTTCTTAATTCATAACTCTTAAGAGCTCAACCAACATCAAGAATCAGATGTAGGCGCTGAATCAATTCAAATACCTAACAGTAGCATAAAAAACTGTTCCTCCCGATTAAGAGAAACTGAACATAGTACACCTAAAGTAACGAATTAATCAAATAGCTAAAAAGTAACGGACTGCATCTGAAACTTGGAGTGTCCAGCAAAAGAAAAGTAAACCTATCAAGGATAAAAGAGGAATATACATTTAGGTCGTTTCGAATTTCTCCTTGGAGCAGTTGAATCAGGGGATCCAGCGCCACCGGAGCTTGACGACGGAGCGTTTGCGTTCATCGGCGTAGCTGGATTACTATTCATGGCTAAGAACTATAAATAATACAGAAGATTACAGATCAGGGTAGAGATTGATTAATGGATCCAAATGAAAGAATTTTGATCTATTGGTTTGGAGTTGCAGTCTTGCAGACAGATGAGAGGAGGAAGGATTTGAAGGGGAAATGGGTTGTTAATCTCTGACCAGTCTATACTCTGCTTTGACTTTGAAAATTCTTTGAACGAAAATAGGAATTAGTCGTTTATCAATTGACCCTTTAACTATTCAGAAATACAGTTGAGTCTTTGAGATATGGGTTTAGCATGATTAGCCCCTGTTTAAAAAGTATGTTGATATACTAGTCTTTTTCACTCTCTCTCCACTTATCCCAATGGCGGTGGTTAAAACGCTAAATGGAACGCAAAACGGCTATTGCGACAATGGATGAGAACATCTATAACGATTGTAGTTGTATTTGTCTTTCAAACAAGTCAATTTATCTGTAAACATCGTAAACATAAAACATGACTTTTACAAAATATAAACATTTTTATATGTGCAATCAAATTTAACATTTTAACTTATTAATGATAATATAATTCAACTCGTATTATATATATTAGGGTAAATTGTTAAATTTGCAACATATGTTCACCATTTTATCAATCTATGCAACATAACTTATATACCCATCAAATCGTCAAACGATAATAACTTGTGACTTTTATCCAATATTAAACCATTAAAATATAACAACAATTACAATTTTATGAATCACTTCTATTGCCATGTAATGTGATGTTTACAAACAAGGCAAAAAAAATGAATCAAATTACTAAGAAACATTATGTTGATTGATTGATAAGAATGGTGTGTGTATGCAGACATATTCAATCTTATATTTTATTTTTACCGAGTCAAGTATATAAACATAAAAATTAACTATAAATGAAAAGGATCAAATATAACAAATGTCATTTCGACCTATACTATATTCAAATGCACAAATTTTTAAATTGATCACTTAAAAAACAAATTATTGTTTTAATATGAATTTTATATGCTTATATTTGTATTGTTTACTTTTAAACGTTGTAAGTGGAGAAAATAGCAATAATAGGTTAATTTACCTCAATCAAATGTATTTTTAACGAACTTAAAATATTTTATATTTAAGTGGAGAAAATACCAATAATGGGTTAATTTACCTCAATCAAATGTGTTTTTAGCTAACTTAAAATATTTTATATTTTAGTGATTGATTTGAACAAATTTTACTTGTTTCTATACTTAAGGATGTTTTCACACTTGATAAAATGGTGTGTTCAAGTGTTAAACCAAACACAACTACTTATAATGTTAGCTTTGATTTACTCTTCTTCGCATGAGTCAATCCTTCAAATCCTAAGACAACTATTCTTATTTCAGTTTATCAAACTATATATCAAGGTTTCATGCAATGAATGGATGAATGAGATGAAATAATTAACTCTACCAAATATCTTTCTATTTGTTTAAAACAATGCATTACTTTAGTGCAACACTTTGAATATTTTTAAAGATTTAAAAAGCTGCATGTATTTACTATAGGTTAAGTAATTAGAATTGATTATTTCCATTTAGAATCAATTGAAAATATATACACGTACATATCCTAACTATGAGGAAGATTACAACAGAAAGAATAGACTAAGTCTGTGTTTATCTACAATTCAAAATAGAAAAGTAAATTATACAAATATAAAGGAAAGTGTGTTATGCACGTGTATGTGTGTTGATATGCTCCCGTAAGATGGACGATCGTGAGAGTAGTCCAATCTTAGATAGAAGATGATTGTATCGTTGCTGTAATAGTGGCTTTGTGAGAGCATCAGCTAATTGGTCTTCACCTTTAATGTGAGTAACCCGTAATGTACTATCTTGAACTTTTTCTCTGACAAAATGAAAATCAAGTGCCAAGTGTTTCATTCGAGAATGAAACACAGGATTCGCAGAATAATGTGTTGCACTCAAATTGTCACAAAAAATGGTGGGTGTAACAGCAGGTTTGTAACCAAGTTCAGACAGTAAAGAGATGATCCATTGGACTTCTGTTGTAGTAGAGGCGACGGCTCTGAACTCAGCTTCAGTAGAAGATCGTGCTAATGTTGGTTGACGTTTGGAACTCCAAGAGATAGGATTAGATCCCAAATAAACTATGTAACCAGTGGTACTCCTGTAGGTTTGTTTGTCACCTGCCCAATCAGCATCAGTAAAAGCATGAAGTTGAAGTGATGAATTACGCCTGATAAGCAAGCCATGATGAATAGTTCCATGTTTTGTTTTGTGGTCGTTTGTTAGCAGCAAAGGCTGTTAGTGGTTGATGGATATTGGTGTTGGTAGGGGATTGTTGAGCCAAAGAGAGTTCATGATTAATGAGTTTTTCATGTAACTCATGAATGAAATGGGGTTATCTCTGGCATGGACAACATCAATAATTGTTCTATAGGAGGTGTAGTCCAGGCCGTTTAAGACTGCATCGGTTATGTCTTCTGTGTCGAGCTTCTTGCTTAGGATATTGAGTTCATCAACTATTGTTTTGACAGATTGCATGTAATTTGTGATTGATTGGTCAGGATTTTTGGATGATTGTTTGAGGCGGTATTGGAGCTGCTTAATGTGACCACGGGAGGGGTTTGCATATGTGTTTGATAAGATGTTCCAAGCTTCTAAGGATGAGGAAGCATTGGTTATGAGAGGGACAATAGCAGGAGATAGAGTGTCGACAAGTGCACCAAATAGAAGTCGGTCCTAGCGAAACCAAATTGAATAATCAGGATGTGGGATGGAAGCGCCATCAATGATGGTTGGTGATGGGGGGGGGGGTGTGGGTACCATCTATAAATTTGTAAAGATTCAGACCCTGTAGTAAAGCCTCAACTTGAGTTTTCCAGCTCATGTAATTGGTGGATGATAGTTTCAGAGAAGAGGGGAAGTGAACAAGTGTGAGAGATGATGTTTTGATTGGGAGAGTATGGATGACAGAGGATGGATTTGCTTCACCTTCGAGAACAGATGTGACTGATGGGGTGGAGCTAGCTTCGGTACCCATGAGAAAAGAAAGTGGCGGCCAGAAATTTGATTTAGGGTTTTTGCTCTGATACCATATAAGTTAAGTAATCAGAATTGATTATTTCCATTTAGAATCAATTGAAAATATATACACGTACAGATCCTAACTATGAGGAAGATTACAACAGAAAGAATAGACTAAGTCTGTGTTTATCTACGATTCAAAATAGAAAAGTAAATTATACAAATATAAAGAAAAGTGTGTTATGCACGTGTATGTGTGTTGATATTTACGTTGTTCCGGTTGTTATGTGCGACTATTATTTGAAAAACATATAAAACAAACAAATAAAAATTATCATGGTATTACTTGGCATAAAGATGAATAAGGATAAAGACGTTTTGTGTACAATATCTCATAGTTGAAGGGTCTAATTACAAGTTTCATAGTTGGTGTATTTTTTGCCAACCAATAGCTAGGTTGCCATGTGGCCTCCACGTTTATATACTTCTAGAATGAAAAGCACTTGGAAAAGTTAATGTATTTTAATAAATATTTACTTTTTAATAGAGACCCTTTATTTAAAGTTACATGATAGGATCTATTTTATTATTATCATTTTTTTTCTATTCATTTAAAAAAAATAGTAAATTATAGTTTTGGTCATATAGTATACATGTTTCTACAACATAGTTGATTTTATATATTATTTTATAATTATAATGTTTAATTTAAACCTACGTATAACTTATTAGGATCTTATACCTAGGGGTGTTTCTGGTGCGGTTTATAATCGAAACCGCAAACCGTGCCGCGTAGGCAGTTTGAGATTTTTTTTTGAAAACCGCAAACCGCACCTCGAGACTTCTAAACTGCGATATGCGGTGCGGTTTATACGGGCGGTTATTGCGGTTTTTATACGGTTTGTGCAGTTTAAAAACATCTTAATATATATTATTTGAGATTTATTAATAGACAACGAAGACAACGATTATATTTCTAATTATCTCATGAAATTAAACTTTGCTCTGTTTTGTTTTGAAAACACCATACAACCACGAACCTTAAACAAAAAAAAATGTATATAATGACATATATTTTGCCTTATTAAAAGTCATTAGTTAATGAGTTAAACTAATACACAGTTTAAGAATGTTTTCAACTACTAATCTGTAAATTAGAAAGAAATCAATTTGACGTAAAGTTTATAAAGGGTTTTTTGCAATAATAAAATAAATAAATTACAGTTGAAATACGTAAACTTGAAACTGAAAAACATGTAACCAATACCATATATTTTATTATCTTTTATAAACACTTAATCAATCTAAAATGTTTATTATATATATATATATATATATATATATATATATATATATATATATATATATATATGGAAAAGTTCAATAGAGAACCATAATTATTGGTTCTTCAAGGAACCAAATCTTTTTTTCAATTTCTAGAGCTTATTCTTTATCGAAAAAAAAAATCTAAAAAAATCTAAATTCATATATTAACATTGTGAATGTGAAAAATATTTTTCGGATTTACCGTGTAAATCCGGATTCACATTGTGAATTTTCAAAGATTCACATTGTAAATTTGACGTAAAAAAAAAACGAATTTGATATCATTGGAAAATGATAAAAAAGTTATGAATTTCTGTATTTTTGTTTTTTTTTTTTTTGATAAAAAATAAGCTCTAAAAGTTGAAAAAAAGATTGGTTACTTGGTTCCTTGGTTAATTATGGTTCTCTATTGAACCTCACCTTATATATATATATATATATATATATATCTATAATTATATATATTATATATATATATATCTATATATATACACACACAGGAGAAAGAGAGAGGAGAGAGAGAGAGAGAGAGAGAGAGAGAGAGAGGTTCAAATGAGAACCCAAAAATGTTAAGAACCTTAAGAACCTTTTTTTTAATATTTTCATTAAGGGCATTTTTGACAAATCCAACATTTATATTGTATTAAGCAAACTATTTCATTCGCTAGTTTACAAACTACTTGCCCCTTGTCGCTGGACCAATGTTTGATCGTCTCCGAACCACCGCAAGACCAACGTCGGACCGCCGCCAGACTAACAATAAATTCAATGGCATTTTCTTGATTGTGTTC